TCGCGATTGGCTTGCTGGCCGTATAAAAGGCTTGAGTGGTTTCCGCCCAAGTCGGAGAACTTTGAGCATGCTGCAAAGTGCCTCTAAGGAGATTTGACTTGCGGCTAGCTGATCGATAGACTGATCACCTATCGATTCTTCTCCCCGTCGCCGAACAATCCCTCGACGTACCCTTCCCTGCGCGCAAAAGTTCCGCGGAGCCTCGACAACTTCGTGTGAGTGAATCAGAGTTCTGTCCGAGTCCTAAAACTAGGATTTATGCGAAGTATTCCTGGAAACGTTCCAGCCTACACTGCGACCATCTTCGGTGTGAGTAAACAATCTTAAACAACCATTAAGCGTCCGTGCCTAATTCTAGCACACTGCCTGCCTTCCCCGACCTGGCATGTCCGGGCTGCTGGCCACAGCCCGCGGTGCACAAGAGGGCCTCGGATCGTTCCCAGCCCGCACACCACCCAGCTTCTGGCCTGAGCCATTGGAGGTGTCTGTTCACTTCTGTTTCAGTTTAATCTTTGCATTTTAGATTAACCTGCAAAGACTGAATCAATTCAGCCTTGGGCTCTTTGTCAGTCAAAGACAAAAGATTGTCAGTCAATCTTTTGCCATATTGCAAAAGCACTGACTGCAACAAAAGCACAGGCACAAAACAAGTACATGCATGAATACCTACAGTGACATCACCACAATAAATTCACCTTGAACTGGTGACTGGATCACCTGCCAAGGAGCTCTGATTCTAATACTGTTTCAACTTTCATCTGAAAGGACCAGATACTGAAAATAATCATTATGTAGGTTACAAATGTGGTCAGTAACTGAAACCCCTTGATGACAAGAATAGACTTTGGACCTGGCATAAATCAAAGTTATGGATATCTGTTTTAGCTTGTATAGATAGAAGTGCTCAACATATAATCAATAAATATATACTCAATAGTTGGCACTCTCAAGGCTATTAGTAACTGTCCAAGTGTGGTGCAGATCATTCTTTTTTAGAAGGCATTAGTAGTAGTTAAAGATAAGATCTGTAGTACCTTAACATACTATCTTTTGATGAGAAAAACTGAATTATGCATACATAATTAGAATCCTATTAAAATGTTAGCGCGTTCTTGTTAACTGCATAGACTAGGATGTAGCCAGCCTTACTCAGTTTCAAGACATCTATCCCAGGGATGTCAAACTCATCTGGGTCTGTGGGCTGGATGAGCATCACTGGGCCAATCCAGGCCAACCTCCAGTGCAGAACTGACAGCACTGAGTTCAGCCTGTGTGTTGCATACACATCATGTGTCACTGGCCTCTGGGGCCAACAACATGTGGGCTAGACCCAGTGCTGCAGGCAGCACAGAGGGTTGGTCCAGGACACATTCAACCTGTGTCCTGAACCCCCTATGTCACATGAAGTGCTTGTTTCAGCTTCCACACCATGGGCAGGGCCATGTGCACAGCTAAACTCAGGGCTGCTATGTGCTCATGAAGCACAGGGCTGGATCTGGTACTAGATATGGCAAAAGAGGTCCAGTGTGGGCTGCATGCAGCACCCCAGACCAACCTCCTGTCATATCTGAATATGAGCATGCATGAATGCTAGATCCAGCCCACATGCCACATACTGACCCTCTGTGCTGTGTTTCTTGCAAAGGCTTAGAAAATATATGTCGCTGTTGAGTTTGGCTTCTTTCTTTTTCATGTTGTAGTTTCCTTTGCAAGAAATACAATTTCGTTCCCCGAGGACTAAACATCTACAATCCTCTGACTACTACACACAACTCCAAATATGCTTCACAGCTATGCAGAAGAACTTCAGAGAAAATTAGAAACCATCTACTTCACCTACTCTACTCCAAAAGAGACCAACTCAGGAAGGAAATCACCACATACTACAACAACTTCAAAGACAGAAATCCAATCATCTTCCCTAACAATATACAGTGGATACAAAGAGACTACGAAAAACTTTCTACAACATTTATCCTACATAAAAAGAAGAAATGGATCAAATTACTCTAAGAACAAGCTCCCCAGCCACAAAACAACCATCAGAGGAACAACACCAACACCTTACAACATTCTAACCTCAGACTTGATAAAACTGAAAGCAGCAACCAGATGAAACTGCAAGCAGCAACCAACCCACAAATATTATCACTCTCTCCACACACACGCTTACCAAAACTGAAAAATCTGTCCTTTCTAAAGGCCTAAATTTCTGTCCAGAAAAATACCCTAATAAAATACTTCAATGTGGAGAACTAGAAGAATTCTTCCGACGCCTGCGCCTCAAGGAATATTTCCACAACCAAACTGAACTCACTCCCAACAACTCATCCTCTGACAATATTCAGGAAAAGATCAACGCCAAAAAGCCAAAAAAACCATCAGATTGGACACCTCACAATGGACGAAACCCTAACCGTGACCACTACATTGACTGCTTCAGGAAATAATGAACAATGAAATAATCAGCAACACCCGCCACCAGAACAACCTCTCTACCAGAGAAAAAGGCCATAGAATCTCTAAGATCTAACCACCAAATAGTAATAAAACCAGCAGATAAAGGAGGAGCCACAGTCATCCTAAACCATGAGGATTACATAAAGGAAGCCAAGAGACAGCTCTCTGACACCACCTACTACAAAGAACTACAAGAAGATCCTACTCCCCTTTTCACCAAAAAACTCAACAATACCATCAAATC